TGGCACAGCATCAATACTGGCTAGTTTGAAATTCACTTCTATGTATTATTATAAAAGTTTTCTATCAAAAGTAAATTATTCGTAATGTGGAAAGGAACATAGAGTTTGTAATGGATATCAGTAAATAATAAAGCTTTTTACAACTTACAGGCTACTGATCTCACTTAAATTATGATAATCCTTACAAATGTCTGAGTCAAGCTATACAAGCAAGGAAGGATCGTGGGTAGTGCACATTACTGTGATTATGTCAGCATGATGCTATTGACTAGTAACATGAAACACCACTGATTAGCAGTTGAACACAATGCCACACATTTTTCTGGCGAAAATAAGTAGATATGGGAATAAAATGAGTACATCATAGACCAACCAGATTGTTTGGTAAACAAACTTCAATTTGTTACTCCTCAGTGAAGGCATTTTTTCCCATCGACATCACACATCTTCTGTTATTTTGGAAATCTTGAACTACAGTTATTATATGAGTAACCCGCAGCCCTACACTTTTTGTTGACAGTGTTTTCTACCCTGACAGGTCTTGGGTGTTTGGTGGCTGGCTTCTTGACAGTGTTCTCTACTCTGACAGGTCCTGGGTATATGGTGGCTGGCTTCTTGACAGTGTTCTTTACCCTGACAGGTCCTGGGTGTATGGTGGCTGGCTTCTTGACAGTGTTTTCCTCCGAGCTGTCCATCTTGACGCTGACTGTGATCACGTTGGAGCGCTGGTACGCCATCACCTACGCTATTCATCTCAACAAGAGGCTGCGCCTGCCAGTGGCTCTCAAGGTGATGATTCTCGCCTGGATTTACGCTATTACCATGGCAGCTCTTCCTCTTATGGGCGTCTCAGGCTATTCTAAGACCAGGTGAGAAGTGGCAATATCAGACATGTCAAGTTACTGATGTGTTTGATGTGTCATAATGTATCAGACATCAGTGCAGCTTGATGTCCGGTATGGAGAGACAGTAATCCATGACACCACCTGCAAAATCTCATATATAAAAATATTTTCCTTCTGTTTCAGCATTTGCTTGCCTATGGAAGCGAATGATGGAGGTGACCAAGTTTACCTGCTTATCCTCCTCATCACCAATGGTCTCGCTTTCATCCTCATCTGTGTCTGCTATGCAAAAATGTATTGTTCTATTGCAGGCAACAACATGGCAGCTAGCACCTCAGACACCACTGTAGCTAAGCGTATGGCACTCCTGGTTTTTACTGACTTTGCTTGTTGGGCCCCAGTGGCTTTTTTTGGGTTAACAGCCGTGTCAGGTTACCCTCTTATTAGTGTAACACACGCTAAATTTCTGTTAGTTTTCTTCTATCCCCTCAATTCCTGTGCTAACCCCTATCTGTATGCTATTCTCACGAAGCAATATCGTCGTGACCTCTTCATCCTGCTGGCTCGACATGGCTTCTGCACCAAGCGAGCAATGAAGTACAAAGGGGGCTACTCGACTAACACCTGGCTCAATCACCATAATGTTTGTGTCAGTGGTGGAACGGGTGGAGGCCCAAGTAGACGTATATCAACACTGACGCAAATCACAACCTGCGGTGATTGGCGAAACCGCGTTAGGGATGGTTCAGAGGAGAGTCTTGGTCGCCAGTGTTCACCCAGCCGGCCAAGGAGCATCTCAGCTGAGCTCACACTCTCCAGCTCTATGACCATACTTTAACTGACCGTCGATTCTCTGACGTTGGTCGACGACTGCAGCCTGTAGCAGAGGTGCGGGATGGCAGAGTATCTCCCAGACTCTGTACACTGACTCCTAACTCTGGCTCGCCTCACCCTATCAAGAACTGCTATGCTCGCATGAACTTTACGCCCGAACAAGAAGCAATGCTTCTGCGATATGCATCTAACAAACAGCCTTGTGTGACGCTTGGCAAAGCTTGGAAACGCACTGGCTCTTTTGACAAAGACGAGACTGTCCCGATGTCCATCTACTCACCAACTACACCAGACACAGTTACCACGCCGGTATCACCACAGCAGGACCACTCAGTATAGACGTTTTATGCCCAGTCTTAGGCAAGCCTCAAAACTTCTCAAGCTGATTCCTATGTTTCTTATATCATACAATTGTAAAAGTAAGAAAGTGGAAAGAAAATTAGTTTCCTATTATATAAGAGTATTTTTAGTGATTATAATGACTATTCAATTTAGTGATGATTATAGTGAGATAAACCATGATACGGGTAAGATAAACCATAGCATGGGTGAGATAAACCATAGCATGGGTGAGATAAACCATGATACGGGTGAGATAAACCATGGTACGAGTGAAATAAACCATGGTTCGGGTGGCTTTAAGACCTGCACAGTAACTCCAGGCTTTAAAACTCACCATTTATGATATCTGTATTAGCAGTAATGTTGAGGCAGAAGTGCTTATGATTTTTTTTAATGTCAATTCTCAAGTTGAATGTGACATTGAATCTTCAAAATAGTAATTTAAAATGCACTTACAAAAACGATATCAGTTTTTACAGCTTGTAAACTATTCACAAGATGACAATTATAGTATCTGAATATTTCTATTTATACAATACAAGTCGTGCAGAATTAAAACAAAACATTGAATTTTGTTGTGTATATACCAAGCAACAATGTTAGAGGAGACTTAAGAATCAGATCATAAGTGTACAATAGTAGCAGTTTGTGCCAGGCAACACCAGCTACAACACTTTTCCAAGTGTGCTATTATTAATATAATTTAATAATGTAAAGAAATGAGTGTTTACCTCATATTAATAAACAAAAAGTAACCTATTTTTATACAGACAGTTTACAGTGACGTCCAATAACCTAATTCTCTTAACCTATTCTAATGAGTGTTTCCTACTATGCCAGAGACTTCTATATTATATAACTTTCTATTTTCATTTTGTCCTTGTAACTTATATCTGCCTCCTCACCTTTCTTTCATCCTCCATCACCTCAGGTTCTCCTAATCCACTAACATTACTGTTTTCTCCAACAGTCTCATTAGTCGTTCCAGTAACTCAAAACCACTTTCATGATCATCTACTTTCCCCTCCCCCTGTGAAACACACTCCCCCTGTGAAACACACTCCCCATGTGGAACACACACTCCCCCTATTGAACACATACTCCTCTGTGGAACACACTCCCCCTGTGAAACACACACTCCTCCTATGGAACACCCCCCATCTGTGGAACACACACTCCCCCTGCAGAACACACACTCCCCCTATGGAACACACACTCTCCCTGTGGAACACACATTCCCCCTGTGGAACAAACTGCTAAACGACCTTGATACTTCGAAGGCAATGGGACCGGACAACATCTCCCCATGGATCCTTAGAGAGGGAGCAGAAATGCTGTGTATGCCACTAACCACAATCTTCAACCCAATCTTGAAACCGGCAACTACCTGAGGTATGGAAGACGGCAAATGTAGTTTCCATTTTAAAAAAGGAGACAGAAAAGAGGCACTAAACTATAGACCAGTGTCACTGACGTGTGTAGTATGCAGAGAAGATTATCAGGAGGAGAGTGATGGAGCAACTGGAAAGGAACAAGAGTATAAACAACAACTGGCACGTATTCATGAAGACAAATCCTGTGTCACAAACCTTCTGGAGTTTTATGATAAAGTAAGAGAAGTAAGATACGAGAGAGAGAGGTGGATTGATTGCATTTTCTTGGACTGCAAGAAGGCCTTCGACACAGTTCCTCACAAGAGATAAGTGCAGAAGCTAGAGGATCAGGCGCGTATAACAGGAAGGGCACTGCAATGGATCAGAGAATACCTGACAGGGAGGCAACAACGAGTTATGGTACGTGATGAGGTATCACAGTGAGCACCTGTGACGAGCGGGGTTCCACAGGGGTCGGCCCTAGGACCAGTGCTATTTTTAGTATGTGTGAATGACATAATGGAAGGGATAGACTCAGAAGTGCCCCTGTTTGCAGGTAATGTGAAGTTAATGAGGAGAACTAAATCAGATGAGGATTAGGCAGGGCTTCAAAGAAACCTGGGCAGGCTGGACACCTGGTCCAGCAACTGGCTTCTCGAATTTAACCCTGCCAAGTGCAAAGTCATGATCGGGGAAAGGAAAAGAAGACCGCAGACAGAGTATAACATCGAGTACGTCTTCAGAAGCACACACCACCCAGATAACTGCTGCAGCATATGGGCACCTGGCAAACCTGAGAACAGCGTTCCAGTACCTTAATAAGGAATCGTTCAAGACACTGTGCATCATGTACGTCAGGCCCATACTGGAATATGCAGCACCAGTTTGGAACCCACACTTGGTCAAGCACGTCAAGAAATTAGAGAAAGTGCAAAGGTTTGCGACAAGGTTAGTTCCAGAGCTAAGGGGAGAAATGATAACGACATTAAAAATACTGCTTGGGATAGACAAGTTGGACAGAGACGGATGTTCCAGAGAGGGGACACAGAAACAAGGGGTCACACTTGGAAGTTGAAGACTCAGATGAGTCAAAGGGATATTGGAAGTATTTCTTCAGTCATAGAGTAGTCAGGAAGTGGAATAGTCTAGCAAGTGATGTAGTGGAGGCAGGAACCATAGCTTTAAGACGAGGTATGATAAAGCTCAGGGAGCAGGGAGAGAGAGGACCTAGTAGCTTTCAGTAAACAGGCGGGGCCAGGAGCTGAGTATCGACCCCTGCAACCACAATTAGGTGAGTACACTCCCTTGTGGAACACCCCCCCCGTGGAATACACAGTCCCCTGTGAAACACACTGTGGAGCACACACTCCCCTGTGGAACACACTGGAACACACACACTCCACTGTGGAACACACAATCCCCCTGTGGAACACACTGTAGAACACACACTTCCGCTTGTGGAACACACTGTGGAATACATACAAGCACATTCCCCTGTTAAACACCTAATACCTTGCCTTGAGAAGCACCCGTCACTCCCTCGTCACAAAAAAAAAAAAATATAAGAATAACATTGATCACAAAACATTACTGGTAATATAACAATCATGTAGTGTGTAATAGTGTATTGTCAGTGTGTACTGCGTGTTACAACCTGCTACAACACTTTCTTAGTGTTCACCCATCAAGGTGGACCCTGGAGGCTGCCTCAGTCATGAGGTGCTCTATGGCCCATACGGGTTTAGCGCTTCCCCAATTTTAGTGTCTTGTGTCAAATAAAGAATGAATACAAAGTTGAGTCATTTTTTTGAGTTGTGTAAAATAAAATGTTAATCCTGACAGTTAATAAGTTGTCTTTATGTAATGTTTATATATATCTTCGTTAGTTATAACAAGTTTAGTAAAGATTGATGTTAACTACAAGACTGATGTAATGACAAGCCTGATGTTAAATACAAGACTGATGTAATGACAAGCCTGATGTTAACTACAAGACTGATGTAATGACAAGCCTGATGTTAACTACAAGACTGATGTGATGATAAGGCTGATGTTAACTTACCTGGAGTTTACCTGAAGAGAGTTCCGGAGGTCAACGCCCCCGCGGCCCGGTCTGTGACCAGGCCTCCTGGTGGATCAGAGCCTGATCAACCAGGCTGTTACTGCTGGCTGCACGCAAACCAACGTACGAGCCACAGCCTGGCTGGTCAGGAACCGACTTTAGGTGCTTGTCCAGTGCCAGCTTGAAGACTGCCAGGGGTCTGTTGGTAATCCCCCTTATGTATGCTGGGAGGCAGTTGAACAGTCTCGGGCCCCTGACACTTATTGTATGGTCTCTTAACGTGCTAGTGACACCCCTGCTTTTCATTGAGGGGGTGTTGCATCGTCTGCCAAGTCTTTTGCTTTCGTATGAGTGATTTTTGTGTGCAAGTTCGGTACTAAGTCCCTCTAGGGTTTCCAGGTGATATAATCATGTATCTCTCCCTCCTCGGGTTTCCCGGGAATACAGGTTCAGGGAAACCCCAAGCGCTCCCATTAATTGAGGGTTTTTCTCCGTTATGCACGCCGTGAAGGTTCTGTGTACATTTTCTAGGTCAAACAATTTCACCTGCCTTAAAGTGCTTAGTGTGCAGCAATATTCCAGCCTAGATAGAACAAGTGACCTGAAGAGTGCATCATGGCTTGGCCTCCCTAGTTTTGAAGGTTCTCATTATCCATCCTGTCACTTTTCTAGCAGATCGATTGATACAATGTTATGGTCCCTTTAAGGTGAGATCCTCCACATGATCACTCCCAGGGCTTTGACGTTGGTGTTACGCTCTATTTTGTGGCCAAATTTGTTTTGTACTCTGATGAAGATTTAATTTCCTCGTGTTTACCATACTGAGTAATTGAAATTTCTCACCGTTGAACTCATATTGTTTTCTGCAGCCCACTGAAAGATTTGTTGATGTCCGCCTGGAGCCTTGCAGGTCTGCAATGGAAGACACTGTCATGCAGATTCGGGTTCATCTGCAAAGGAAGACACGTGCTGTGGCTGACATCCTTGTCTATGTCGATATGAGGTGAGGAACAAGATGGGAGCGAGTACTGTGCCTTTGAAAAAGAGCTTTTCAAACCCTGGCTGCCTCGACTTTACTCTGTTGACTACTAAATCTCTTTTTTCTGTTTAGTGAGGAAATTATAGATCCATCGACCGGCTTTCCTTTATTCCTTTAGCACGCATTTTGTCGCTATTATGCCATGGTCACACTTGTCGAAGGCTTTTGAAAAGTCTGTATATATTACATCGCATTTCTTTTTGTCTTCTAGTGCATCTAGGACCTTGTCTAGTGATCCAATATGAGACAGACAGGAGCGACCTGTTCTAACCCATGTTGCCCTGGGTTGTGTAACTGATGGGTTTCTAGATGGGTGGTGATCTTGCTTCTTAGGACACTTTAAAGATTTTATGATATGGGATTTAGTGCTATCGGTCTGTATTCTTTGCTGTTGCTTTACTGCCCCTTTGTGGAGTGGGGCTATGCCCTGTTGTTTTTAGTAACTGTGGGACGACCCCCGTGTCCATGCTCCCTCTCCATAGGATGGTAAAGGCTGTGAAGGGGTTTCCCTTGCATTTCTTGATGAACACGGAGTTCCAGAGTCGGCCCCTGGGGCAGAGTGCATGGGCATGTCTTTATCGCCTGTTCGAAGTCATTTGGCGTCAGGATAACATCAGATAGGCTTGTGTTAACCAAATTTTTGGGGCTCTCTCATAAAAAATTAATTTGATTTTCGACCCTCAGTCTGGTTAGGGGTTTGCTAAAAACTGAGTCATATTGGGACTTGAGTAGCTCACTCATTTCCTTGCTGTCATCTGTGTAGGACCCATCTTGTTTAAGTAAGGCCCAATACTGACGTTGTTCTCGACTTTGATTGGCATAGGAGAAGAAAAAACTTTGGGTTTCTTTCGATTTCATTTATGGTTTTTTAGTTTTTCCGCGATTCCTGACTCCTATAAGATTCCTTTAGCTTAAGTTCGATGTTTGCTATTTCTCTGACCAGTGTCTCCCTACGCATTTCAGAATATTGACCTCTTTTACCCGCTTTTTCCGCGCCTGTAAAGGGAGGCCTGTCTCTATCTATTTTACATCTACTCCTCCTTTTCTTAGAGGAATAAGCCTTGTGCATACATCGAGTCCACCAAGTTAATCTGTTCTAGGCATAATTTGGGTCTGTTTGCTTAGTATATCTTCCAGCTTATATCGGTTAGGACTTGGTTACTTGGTCCCACTTTATGTTTTTGTTATTGAAGTTGAATTTGGTGAATGCTCCCTCGTGACTAATCTCATTATGTCGGTCTGGGGCTCCGCGCATACATGTCTGAACCTCAATTATGTTGTGATCTGAGTATTTTGTTTTTGATATGGTTTACATTTCTTTTCAGATCATCATTGTTTAGTGAAGATGAGGTCTAGTGTATTCTCCATTCTAGTAGGGTCTATTATTTGCTGGTTTAAATTGAATTTTGGCAGAGATTTTTAAAAACTCGTGTGATGTGAGTTTTCATCAAGCTGCCTTCTGGTGTTATTACTGCAACAATATTATTTTCTATAATTCCTCCATTTTAGGTGCCTTAATGAAATCCCCCAGGAGCAAGATGTTGGGGGCAGGACTGGAAGATTTTCCAGACAGTGGTCAATTTTAACACTGTTCCTGGAATTGCTGGGATGTTGCATCCGGAGGCTTGTAGACTACAACAATGACTAGGTTTTGGTTCTCGATCTTTACTGCTAAAACTTCCACTACATCATTTGAGGCATTAAGCAGTTCTGTGCAAACAAGTGACTCTGCAATGTACAGGCCAACCCTCCCTTTTTGCCTGTTCACTCTGTCACATCTGTATAGGTTGTAACCTGGGATCCATATTTCGTTGTCCCAGTGATCCTTTATGTGGACCTCAGTGAAAGCCGCGAACATTGCCTTTGCCTCTGCAAGCAGTCCACGGATGAAAGGTATTTTGTTGTTTGTTGCTGGCTTTAGACCCTGTATACATATGAATATAACCCCTATGTAAAATGGTTCTTATAACGATAAAAGAAAAAACAGAAAATCACATATCACTTTTAACTCTGTGGTTTTACAAAATTCACAAGGTCTACATACCCCGGAGCCCCCGACGGCTCCCTACAAATAAACTGTACCCACGTCAAACACCCTGCAAACCAGTCAATCTTCCTCATCAGGCATCCAAGCACTCCAAGAGGACACACCACTGAAGAGACCAACCCCTTTGCCTCCTCACCCCGTCACCAAGTGGAGTAAACGTTCAACAGTAAGTCCTCGATATCCCTCCGAAAAACTCGTTACCCACCGTCCCCCATATAATTGTTTGTTCCTACATGCTGTCCTATAAAAACATGCCACCAATGCTTTTATCCTAAAGTTTCCCTCCACCTCCCTCATCCCCCAAGAGACATACAAGTAATCAACTATTACGTATCTGATAACCCTCCCCACCTCGTTGGGCACCCCTCCCATATCTAACATTAAAGGCCTAAGGGGTGATATCTTTCCCCCCCCCAATAAAAGGAAAACCCTCTTCAACCACAATCTTACCACCTTCAAAGCAGAACAAAAATATACTACATTGAAAGCAGTTTCAACTTCCCCACAAAAACCGCATGACGCCTCTCTCACAAAACCCATTTGTCTTAGCACCTCTGTCGATGCCAAAGTCCCCATAAGAAATCTATATACTAATTCCCTCATTCTTGCCTGTATTCTTAGTTTACTAAAAATTCCACCCCTACACTCTCCAATCATATGTGGGGTACACTGCCATCCCCTGCAGTGATTCCTGACGACGACTCACTCCCCCCCAACCGTTTTACCTTGAGTTTTTTAACATTGCGAACCCTTAACATAAGCCTCAACATACTTCACACTCCACTAAGTCCCTCCACCCCACCAATTTTTGGATATCCCCCATCACCTCCCCCACTCGAAGACCCCTTTCCCCCCGCCCGAATATACCTCGCTTCACATATATTCCTTCCCCTAGATCCTAATGCCATTAACCCAAAATCCTCTTTGTCCTACCGCAGTCATTACCACATTTTTTCCCCAACCACGCCTCCCAAAACCCCACACATACCTTAATACTCCCCTTTTTGTATTCCATAATATCCGACTTCGCAAGGGAAAAATTTCCGCCACTCCCCCACACCTTGCTATAAATCACGTTTTTACCACCACAACCCTTTGATGAAAGGGTTTACGTCCCCGGCCCAAGACCCTAACCTACCAAAGCCGTCCATTCCAAATTCTAAATTAAACCCTCCTGCTCTCCGTGATCTCCAAATACAAAATCCCACAAATCTTGAGCCTTTCTACATTATCCACCAAATTTCCCCCAAAGGGCCCCACCTACCCAAGCGCCTACCTCCGCAACCGTATTTCTGCTATTAACCTCACCCAGTACTTTCCCCAAAAAATCTAAAGTGCCCTTCCCACTTTAAACTTAAATTTTGTGTCTCATTAATAAAACAATAT